TTCGATTAGGATTTGACCTGTGACCAGGTTCAATCATTTCCTTCTCTATATTCTTCTTATGTAGATATGTATAGGAAAGAAAATGACGCAACTCATAGAGACAACTAAATCATTTACTCTTTGATTGTGTTTATAGTGAGAAAATTATGAAAAATAAAATTAAAATTTACATTTTGTTATTTAAATAAAAAATAAAATTAAAAGGAGATTTCTATGAAAATTATCGCGATTTCAAAAATAAAAGAATAAAAAAACTTGTTTCATTAAAACTTTTTATTTATTATTTTAAAGTCAAATTCCAAAAAAATTTCTAAAAATAAGATAACCAAAACAATTTATAGCATGTTTGATAATATTTGGTTCTTTTGAAGAAAAAAAGTTTACCTACGTATAAATAAAGGTGTTACACTTAATTCTGCTTTGTGATTATAATTTTACTATTTTGTCAACAAAGGAAATAGCTTTTACGATTTGTTCAGAACTTTAGTCTATTATTACAAGTTCTTAAGTTATTTTTTACTTCCTTCCAAAAAAGTTATTTGATTTTTGTTTCTTCCTTTTATTTTTAATAAATAATCAATTTTCTTTAAAGAAAAGATCTAATTATTGTAAAAGTAAATTTTAATTAACTTACTATATTAATAATTTTTTTTATAAACATTAACACCAAATTGTATACTCACTTTTGTATATGTTGAAAGCAGAGTGACCCAAACCCTCTCAAATGGCTTACACTTGGCCTTCTTCTAGAGTTACCAAATAAAACGACCATGCATGTTGCACCTCTATTCAACACATATACATATCTATTTATAGCTTTTCTTCGTACACCATTCATTATTGTTCTATTCCTCTTCTCAACCACACCATTCAATGCCCAGAACTTGAAAGCCTAACACCACCTTCATTTGAATGCACCATCTTTCTTGATTCTTCCCATTAACCATTGAGAGTATGGCTGGAAACTCTCTCACTCACAAAGATACTCACATTAACTTAGAACAACAAACATGAAGAAGGATAGTAGAAAATCACATAAGAGCACATGCACATTGTTGTAATCGTTGCGATAACAAAACAATTGCTATTATAACTATGTAAAAATTAACTAAATTACACACAGCATAATTAATCAAAATGATGATTTATTATAATATAGTCAATTAGAATAACAAAATGTTTTCAAAACTAGTTTTTTATTTTCAATGTGATAACATCCTACGATTCACGTATATTTTATTTTAAAATAAATGTACACATAATTTAATAATTAAATAAAAATTTTATATTTTTGTAAATTATTATGTATAAATATAATAAAATTATTATAAATAATAAATTTTTAAAAAAAATTAATTTAATTTTATAACTACAAGTAGAATGTATGAAAATGATAAAATTATAATAAATTAAATAGTTTTAAAATATATTTTACTTTAAACTAATATTTTTATCATATAGTAATAAAAAATTTAATTAAATTTAAAAATAAATATATACATATTTAAAAACAAGACTCTTAAAAATAAAGTATAAATTTTAAAAAAATAATCGATAATTTTTATAAATATAAAAAAATATTTATCAAAAATATAAATATTTATATAAGATAATAAAAAAATTAAATAATAATTATAATCTCCATTATTTTTAAATAAAATTAAAAATATAAAAATAAAAATAAAACTATTATAATAAAATATAATGTAATTTAGACATCATTCTCAATCAATTTTAATTTTAAAATATATCTATATGAAAAAGTGTTAAAAAAATAATTCTATCGTACTTTACTTTCTATATAATATAAAAGTCGAGTCTATATATATATATATATATATATATATATATATATATATATATATATATAATTTTAGAATTTGTTAGTTTAAAAATGCATAAATAGAAATTTTTATGAAAAAGTACATATTAAAGTTATAAAATTAAAATAAATATTTCAATTTTAATAAAATTTTATTCTTATTATTTAAGCAAAGTTAAAAAAAATTATAATTTAAACATTGTTATTTTAAAAGTTTTTAAATTTTTACTAATTTATCGTAAATATTTTAAGAGAAAAAAAGTTTATTCATTATATCTTTATCATTAAGATTTAAAATTTAGATGACGACATACTGATATTATTTTAAGAAATTTATAATCAATAATCTAAAATATTTTATCTAATATATTCTAAACCGTCAATTAGTAAGAGACGAAATTATCCAAGTCAAACAAATTAAATTGGTGCCACCGCTGATGTCAGCAATAGTTCTGAAACGATAATACAAATCGGAAAGACCATATATATATATATATTATGGAGCTAAACTCATTATTTTCGGAAGGTTATAAACAAGTAGAGATTATTATCCAAATAGCTACTACTTTTATATTAGATAAATGAGATAGATTTTTTTTATTTTTTTTTCATTGAATATTAATGGGAAGACTTTATGAAAAATGGTGATTCAAATTCAGTTCTATGCCAATAATGAGTTGGAATGCAGTGATTAAGTAAATTAATTAATATTGATAAAAAAAAGGTAATTAATGAATTTTTTTTTGTCTTATAAAAAATACGAGTATAACTGAAGATTTTCAATCAATTCTAAAATTCAGACTGTGATTAAGCATTATAAACTTAAAATCCATGCATTTAATATTGTCTAATTTATAGTAATTTTTTTTAAAATAAATTTATTTTAAAATAATTTAATGAATATAAACTTATATGTTTAAAAAATTAGCTCTTAAATAAATTAGTGAGTATACAATATCAAACATCAGTAATATATATATACACTATAACTTTGACACATACTTTAAATATGTTTTACAAATTCAAAATTAATTTTATTAAAATATATTATATTTAACTTTACAAGAAACAAATGGACTTTTATTTGATAAAAAATTGTGTCTTTCTCTTTCTAATAAAACTGTTTTATATTACTCAACAATGTGAAAGGATTTAAATTATATTATTAATAAAAATTTACTACTTTAACACATTTAAAATAATTTTTAATCTATAGTTTTAATATTTTTCTTCAACTATCACACTATGATGAATCACAAATTTTTCCTTATTCGTTTTAATTTTAAATATAATTAATAAGAAGAGGTAATAAATTTTCAAATTAAGTACCAACATCAGCAAATCCTATAAATTAGTGGACAAATCAATATTCATGATTTAGGTGAATATTTAGCCCAAACTAACATAATATTATTTTAGCTTTTTATTCATAAAATTTAAAATATTAAAATTTTATTAAAAAATTGAATTTTAGTTTTTCATATCAAATTATTATATTTTCTTCCTGATTAGTTATTTTGGGTTCTGAAACATTTTGGGTACAGAAACAAAAAAAACTTATTCAATTAAAAAATGATTTTTTAATTAATACCCATCTTTTAAAATAATTTATATTCATAAATCATAATGGAATATCTAAATATCATGAAAAAATAATCTTCTAATAATTAAATTAATTATTTTATTTTTAAAAATGGAAATTTTTTAAACATTATATTTTTAAAAAATTTATTTGTATTTTTTATTTAATAAATAAAAATTCAACCTAAATACATTGATACACTATCATTCAATTATAAATTAATATATCAATAAAAATCATTAACTTTTATAACTAAATTAAATTAAAAATTATATCCGTCATATATTTGAACTTATTTATAGTATATATTTTTTTTACACAAAATATGCATCAACATTAAAGTTATATATATATATAAAATATTTTTTCTGTATTTAGAAATATTTGAGATGCATTTTGATTAACTTTTCATTTTAAATTATTTTAACGATTTTTCTAACATATATTTAAAGAAGTATAATAAGAATTTAAATACAATACATTTTTATTAAAAATTATAGAATATTATAAAATTTAGTATGTTAATAAAATTAAATATCATAACTTTAATAAAATTTAATACTATATAAATTTTTAATAATTAAGATAATTTGTAAACATAAAAAATATTTAAAATAATAATTTCTGAACATATATTCAAGTCCCAATATATATAATAAAAATTAATAAATAAATATTAAATTTTATAATCTTACAAATTTTAATATGTACATTAAAAAATTGTGAATTTAATAATTTTGAGAAATGATTATTAGGAACAGTTAAATTTGGCATGAACCTTTTACCTTCCAAAATTGTTTTTCCTCATTAATTATTTAAATGTGGAAATGATCATATCGTACTTAAGTTACAGTACACAGAATAGAATAATAAAGTAAATGGAAAAGTTCACCAACCCTCGACCTCTCTCATTAACTGCTGAGATTAATGAGATTCCTCAGAATGCCGTAATCTTAATGAGATTGGAAACATAAAACTATAAAATAATCCAATCAATCAATCAAAGCAAGAGACAGACTAGTGATATTCAACGCCCACCGCCCACTCAGATGATGCCATGTGGCTAACATTTGACACTGTCTTCTCCACTTCCATTTTTCCAATCTCTTTTTAGTGGTGGTGTTAATCAGTATAAATTTAATCAATAACTGCAGAATATTAATTAGAAAATTAATAATGATTTTTTACTAAAAATTATATATATGATAATTTTAGTAAATATTTATTCTTTTTAATCAATTTTTTAGTATTTATTTCATCTTTTAAGAAAAAAAATTATTTTACTTTAAAATGTAAGATAATATCGATTCTTTTATTAATAATAAATATTAATTAATATTTAAAAATATTTGTTAAAGAAATAAATATATTTTTATTATAAAACGTTATTAGTACACTATTTTTAGTAACTTTTAATATATCTTAATTTTTAATAAAAATTGCTTTTAATTTTTAATTATAAATAACGAATATAATAAGAAATTAGACGATAATTTTAATAGAAACTAAAATTTTAAATTTATATTTTAATTTTTGTGTAAAATATGATTAATATATAAAGCAGTGGAAGGATGATAGTGTAGTTTTTGTCTCTGTGGAACAGAATAGGACACATAACACAAACATAACGTGACTGCACCTGCAACTTCTATTGACCATTGTTGTTTGTTCTTGCTAGTGGTCGTGACAATACCAATGTCTTCCAGAGGGTTCATCCTTTATCTCGTATCTAGTTTCTCTTTTGCTGTTCTTTCTGCACTGTTCCTCACCAACCATGTTCATGATAGCAACAAAGTATCTTTGTTAAACTCTGATGTATCTGGAACTCATAAAGTTTGGCCCGTGAGTACTTCTGAACAATTTTCAGGTGTTTTAGTGCGTGTTTGGTTTTCAGTTATAATAAAACTCAACTTAAGTTTGGGCCAACGCAAAGAAAAAATTTCTTTGCCAACGGGTAACCAAGCACACTATTAGGATCATGAGTACGTTTTTGTTGTGATCAAAAGGTTAATGCATGTTTGTGTTGTGTTTTGTGCAGGAATTGGAGCCAAGTTGGAAACTTGTGTTGGGAACGGTTATTGGGTTTCTTGGATCAGCGTGTGGAACCGTTGGTGGGGTTGGAGGAGGAGGCATTTTCGTTCCCATGCTTAATCTGCTTCTTGGGTTTGATACCAAATCTGCTGCTGCTCTTTCTAAATGTAAAACTTTCTCACAATTTCTTGTAACTAGTTTTCTGGAACTAAATGGAAATTATGTTTATGTTGTTAAAAAATAAAACTAGTTTGTTAGTATTGCCTAGTTGTTTTGTGGTTGTTTTTTTGTTGTGTTGTGAACAAGTTTGGTTTTGGTGTTGTTGACTTGTTATAGGTATGATAATGGGGGCTTCAGCATCATCCGTTTGGTATAATCTAAGAGTGCCCCACCCAACGAAAGAGGTGCCCATCTTAGACTATGATCTGGCACTTCTGTTCCAGCCTATGCTCATGCTTGGGATCACTGTTGGTGTTGCTCTCAGTGTTGTCTTCCCTTACTGGCTTATCACTGTTCTTATCATCATTCTCTTCGTAGGTTTGTGCCTTCACTTAAAAAAAATAAAATACTTGCAAAAGAAAGCAGTGTTTGTTCTTTGAATGAAAAATTCTTAAGCCACAGATTCCGAACAGTGTTTTTTTCTCTCTTGAAAATTTTGGTTTTATTTTTGTATAGGCACTTCTTCAAGGTCTTTCTTCAAGGGAATCGAGATGTGGAGGCAAGAGACTCTTTTCAAGGTAAAAATTCATGACTTGATACGATGAATATTCTGTCATTAACTGTAGTTATTACCTTTTAGTAAAAGACACTAATTGGCATTTTGTTTGTCTCTACTTTTTGTTTGCTACTTTGCAGAAAGAAATGACCAAGAAGCGAGCGATATTGGTTAATTCTTGTGGCGAAGATAAGACAGGCATGTGCACTTTCCAAAATAGTTATTTTTGTATATTAATGAAAAAGTAGATAGTACTAAAGTGTCATGCTTTATTGCTTTGAAAGTGGAATAATTTCTGTTCATTAAGGAGTTCCCTGCATATTTTTATGCATATGATTGTTTCTTTAACTGTGTATTGAGTTTGTTTTTTGATATTTTCAGTTAGAATTGACACAAAATTTGAGCCGTTGATCCCTAAAGAAGAGAAGTCAGCTCTAGTATGTAAATTTCTCTTGCATTTGACAAAATTTTCATTTTGCAATATTGGAAAGAAGCTGACTTTATATTTTCCTCACTTGAAAACCATTCAGGAAATTCTCTGTTTCAACCTTAGATGGAAAAGGATTCTGGTTCTGATTGTTGTGTGGGTTTCTTTTCTACTAGTTCAAGTCATCAAGGCAAGTCCCCTCCACCCTCTCTGTCACTCACTTCTCTATTCAATTTTGTTGATGCAATATTTGTTGTTTGGTCTACAGAATGATGTAAAGATTTGCAGTACATGGTATTGGGTGCTTTTTGGCTTGCAGGTTTGATGATTAGATCAATTACATAACCTCAAATTGTTACATAACTTGTTGAGCAGTGGAGTTAGACTAATTGGCTTGCACTTTGTCTCTTTCTGTTTCAGTTTCCAATAGCACTTTTGGTGTTTGGCTATGAAGCAGTTAAGTTATACAAGGAGAACAAAAAGATGATAAGCACTGGGAGCTTAGAATACATCTGTGAGGCTTCAATAGAATGGACCCCAATGAACATTGCATTTTGTGCACTTTGTGGCATTGTAGGTGGAGTTGTTGGTGGCCTACTTGGTTCTGGAGGTGGGTTCATTTTGGGCCCTCTTCTCCTTGAGATTGGTGTCATCCCTCAGGTACAGTATATATGTCCTTTTAATTGCATATTTGGAAACACGTTGAAAATTATGTAAATATGTATCGAATACAGAAGTTACAACCAGTAATGTTGAAGTAAAAATGAATTCGTGGATCCAAATACGCACTAACTTGTACTTATAGTCGAATTTGCAGCTAAATTTAAGAAACTTGACTTACAAGGATGTTTACACACTATCTTGTAGGTTGCCAGTGCAACAGCAACATTTGTGATGATGTTTTCATCATCTTTGTCAGTGGTAGAATTCTACCTTCTCAAGAGATTCCCCATTCCTTATGGTAATTTTCATCAAGCTTTTATCCCTTTTCAATTTTCTTGGCCAATACACCAACAATTCCACAATCATTTTATTTTTTATGTGATCATATATATGATTTTGAATTTAACTATAGTCTATTTCATTGTATTTCTTTGCAGCATTGTATCTCACCTCAGTGTCAGTTTTGGCTGGCTTCTGGGGACAGTTCTTCGTAAGAAGAATAATTGCATGTCTTGGAAGGGCATCAATCATTGTGTTCATCCTCTCAGGTGTCATTTTTGCCAGCGCTCTCACCATGGGTAAAGAAAACCAAACTCAATTGTTGATCTATAATGATTTTCTGCTTAACTAATATCGTAGCACATTTTACATTGTTGTGTCTAATTGTGACATTTTTCTTTCAGGTGTCATTGGCATTGATAAGAGCATTCAAATGATAAACAATCATGAGTTCATGGGATTCTTAGGCTTTTGTACCAATCAGTGATATATTTAGTGTGCATTGGGCATAGCAAACAAGGGTAAAATTCAAATTAAGTGGGAAAAAAAAAAGTTGTAAATTGAGTGTGGGACATTCCCCAATGCTGGTCAATGCCTAGTTGACCAACAGGAAGATCAATGTCAAATAATGACAAGAGTAGCTTGTCTTTCTATCCAGGAAAGTAAGTTGTGGTTGAGTGTTAGCTACTGGCTAACACCTTATTGTGGGTAGTATTTATTTATTTTTCTTTTCATTGGTTTGGATGATTTCGGTTGCATTTAATTTGTGTCATAAAAAAAAATAATGGAAATGGTATTGAATGGTTTTATACGTTTGGATGTTCAAAGTATCAAGATACCTCTGCCCCAATAGGTTTAGATATTCTAATAGAAAATGAGTGGCAATTTGAGAACTGAAAATATTTCAAGTCTAACCATTCATTCACATACATTAAAATTGAATTCTTTTAAATAATTTAAAAAGCCTTTATTAAGTAAATATTTACTTTATTAAAATATAATAAATATGCGTTTATTACAAGAATGTGTGGTGAAGATCTGTTGGATCTGAGTTCCAGAAACAGATTCCAAGATTAATTGATTATGGTATTCTGCCAAAATTAAAGAATTAAAATTAATTATGGTTGTCCTAAATAGTCACGGATTGTGGTCGTAATCTGTTTGGCTTCTTTCACCAAAAGTTTGGATTGAGATTACTGTTTCCCCGTATGTGGAAACTAATGTACCTTATGCTTCGTTGGAATCTTGTCGTGTACTATGTAGAGCGCATCATCATTGATGAGGAGATCATGTGCCCACGTTGCAGGATCAATAATATCATGAAACTTGTGTTAATTATATATTTGTAAATTTATTATATTTGTTAGAGCACTTGTATTTTTTTACTAAAATTAATTCTTTTCGAGTAAAATAAATATCATTTTAAAAGATAAAAGCTTTTTTTAATATTTAATCCATATATACACTAGAATTTAAACTCAAAATTACGTTGAAATAGCATGTAGTCGGTGGTTCTTAAATTTATTTGTTAAAATTTTTAAATACTTATCTCAAATTATTTAAAAAAACATTTTAACTCTCTAAAAAGAAATGATTATAAAAATTATATTAAAAATTGTATTAGTAATATTTCTTTAATATCATGTTATTTATTTTTTATATCTTATCTTGTTTGATATAAGAATAAGGTTTAAATTTGTTGCTTTGTGTCAATTATTTACAAGGTAATAAGGGAGCATTTTCTCCATATTAAGTTCTGCTAGTTTTTTACTCAAAAAATTCATTTCATTTAAAGTTATATTTAACTTAATTTCTCTTTTCGATGAGAATGTAAAAAAATTAAATCAAATACTACCTGAATTTGAGTAGCTTAGTCTCATTTAAACAACATAAATTATTTTTGCAAGTATAAAAAATAGCGATTTAGTTCGATTTGTAGAAAATGAATTTTATTTTTAAATCTATACATATATTTATAGAATATTTTTCTATTATTAAAATGTTACTACTTGTGAAAAGGTTAGTCAATGAGTATAATATATTTTGAAATTCTGATTTTAGCGAACTTCCTCTTCGTAACTCAAAAGAGCTACTTCCAACCCCAACCCTATCATTAGATTAATTAAATAACGTGTTTAACTTTAGAAAAAACAGAGAGGCATAAACAATCCCTAGTTTCCCATATAATACTTCACTGTTGACTTTGAAGGTGGCTCCTCGCCAATTGGGAATAGTGAAGTTGGTCTTTGCCCCATAAATTTAATAACGAAGGAACAATAATTAATCAAGAAAACCATTTCAGGGGAAACAAATTAAATAAAAGACATCCCTCTCAGTGTCACTTTCAAGATCAACAATGAGCTGATTATCATTTTTTATTGGGCTAAAATTTAAGTGTAGTTTCTTAAATGATTATCGAGTTTGTTATATTGTTTAATAAAAATTTAAATTGTATATTGATGATTTGCAACAACATTAAATACTTATTTTATACCAAGATAAAATTTAATTTTAATAAAAATCATACCAAAAATACTTAAATTTTATCTTTATTGTTTAGCTTAGTTTTTAAAAGATAAGCATAGAAAGGAACGTTTCTTGACTACGTCAGCATGAGATCAGGTGCTTCTTCCAGCAAATTAAAAGGACTATAATTTTTAAAATATATAAGATAAAAATAAGTAAAATTAAAGTAATATATAATACTATATATGATGCTAATGTTTTGTTTAAATAAAGGAACTAACATCCCTTCCCATATTAAGATAGAAGTAAACAAATTAAAACACGCAAACATTCAAATGCCTTGTCATGTCATCTAATTAGTGACGCTAGATAAGTGAGATTTCTCCCTTTTTAATCTTTAATAAAGGAAGGGCATCTAATATTATGAGCTTAGCGACCCAACAAAACAAGTTTTACTAACTTATCCTTAAATCGAAAATTGGTCTTTCAATTATGATTTTTAAGTTACCACGTCGAAGACAAAGAAAAAAAGTAATAATATATAATGTTAACCTTAAGGCTAAAGATTAAACATCTGCATTCAATTATTAAAAAATACTTTTATTATATTGAATATATATTAAAAATTATTTTTAATAAAAAAAGTTACTGTTCTAAATGTTTAAAATTAACCTTGAGGACTAAGATTAATAAAATCATATATTTTAAAATTGAAAAATCAGTTAATGAAACTATGTAGTAGAGTAGAAGCCGAATAGATAACGCAGAGACCGAAAAACAAAGAATGACTTGGAACATGTCTAGAATGTCTCCGTATGAAGAATATCCATCCATTCAGCACAAGAGGACATGATAATGAACACTGTTCACAAACAAGTCAATGATACCAATTAACAAAGGCTCATCTTTGACCTATTATAAGCATGAGAAACAAGGGAAAGGATATATCATAATGGTATTCTTAGTAGTGAGAGCTCTTGGAGTATCCAACTGGTTCAAGATGACACAATGTGGGAAGGCTTGAAAGGATTTAGCTGGCACCTAGCGTCACACAAGTGCTACCCCATCAAATTCGGTAGTTGTGGGAACCAAGCCAAGGCTATATAAACATGTGCCCAAGTCAATTTTCCCATGGACATCATTGAATGAGAGATATGATGCAGGGGCACACTTAGAACATAAAAACAGTACACAGGAAAGAGCTCTTGCTAGATGGACTACTTCTGGATGCTTTGGAAGGCTTTCTTAGATGGAGAATGCATGAGTGGTTTAGAATCTGAATTGATAACAATATTTCCCATTCCTGCCTCCATGGCTTCCCTCTCATCTTTGTCCTTTTTCTTCTGGTCAGAAACAGCAGTTTCAGTGGTGGGGTTGTGATTAGAAGGCACAGATGGCTCCAAAAGGCGAGGACCTGCATTGATCCATGGGTGTAGAAGGCACTGACCAGCTGTTGGCCGCTTCTCAGGAACAAAGTCAAGGATAGGAACCAAAAAGTCTGTCATTTCATTTGCATCTCTCTCACTGAACTCGTACTTCTCCACGAGGACTTTGTTCAATGGCCAGAATCGCAACCGACGGATGTGCCTCAAGTCACCATATCTATTAAAGAAATCACGGGAATATCGACCCCCTAGTGCAATCTGAGAATTATAATGTGCAGACTCGAGTTAATCATGAAATAATGATATAACTGTTAAGACCTACGGAATGGATCGAAAAATATTGTTACCTTGCGTGGCATCATTCCAAGAAGTTCCATCATTAAAGCTAAGTGGTCCTGAGGTAAATTAAAAATAGAGCACACTTATGTCAGACATCAACACCAAAACTGAAGTACAAATGCAAGTAAAAATCATTTCAAAATTCAGTACTGAAAATAAAACTAACATAATAAAAAAAATCAACATGTCACTCCCAAGCAAAACATATTATTATGTAAACCTAGGAATGCATAAGCACATCCGGTAAGTTGCATGTGTAAAAATCGCACACAGACCAAACCACTTCACTGACAGGAGCACAATCTGCCTGAATCAACCGTTTTGCATAACAAACTTGGCACATAGAATCTTTGCATAATAACCATTAGAGACGCTAAAACTTAAAATGGGATAAAGTTCATTCTGCCTTGATATGGTAGGAAAGGGACAATGGTTGTTTACTTTGGATTATGGTGCCACAACCACAAAGCCGAGGCAAAGCTGTATTCCTTGGAAGGAGCTGAGTTTTATGCATGGCTGTCACACTCCTTGCTGATTTGCAGTGGGTGATTTTACTGCTGGGAGATTTGTAAGAAAATTTTTTTATGCTTTCACAAGTGAACATGACATCTTCACTTGATGTTAAACCATTCATATGCTTTTCATCCACAAGCTTAAACTGATAGCATGGTTGGTTCATTACATGGTACAAAAGCATATATCACATGTTAGAGATGTAATTTAGAATCATTCAGGTGTCATCACCTAAAAACATAAGTTTTTGGAATAGTATGTTCACATGGTATCACAGCCTTTAAGAACATGAGGTGTAAAGTTCAATCCTTGTTACCCTCATTCTTCCAATAAAATGTTGAATTTCAGCACAAGGGCGCTTGTGCATTATCCACACTTCAAGCACAGAGTTCTTGCATGTGAGATGTGTCAAAGATGTAATATAAAACCATTCATGAGTCTTGATACAACAGCAAATGCTTTAGGAATATATGTTCTTGACATGGTATCAAAGTCCCTATGACCAAGTGTGCATGGTCCATGCTTCAAGTGCAAAGACCTCTTACAGGGCATGTTAGAGATGTAATATACAGAATAAAAGCATTCATGTGTCTTCACCTTACGCTTTTGAAATAGTGGGAGGCACAAGTGAGAAGAGTAGAAGAGTATATTGTATAACTTTTTAGTCCATTAAAAAGGAGACTAGAGAAATCTAAAAGAACCTTAAATAAAGTTATTAAAAGAAATATTTTGATTAATTACATTCATGAAAATTTGGTTTTTGGTCGAACTCAATAATATTGTGTGATTTATGTAGCCGACCTCATCTAATAGGATAAAACTTGGTTGTTGTTGTTGTTGTTGGTTCATGACAAACTTAACCTATGTCTAATGCCAACTCTAGCGTATCTATAAAGGCTGATCCTCTCCATGTCTCAGCCACAGTCTGTCTTAATATTATAGGAAGGGTACATAAGTGGTTGATGGTTTACTACAGGCTATGTTCACATAATGCTTGGACCGAGCTCTCTTCAATGGAAAGAGCTGAGTTTTGTGTATTGCTTCAGCACTGGTGAGCAGGGGGTTATTCCAATGCTTTGATTCATAATGAAAAATTAAGAGATGATAAGGTTACTCATACACTTCAGGGACACGGTTTTATATATTAAGGTGACCTCCTGGATTTAACTTTATCTAATGCCCAGTTCCGGAGGTCAACTAACAGAGGGCACAATTTCCTGGGTTGGACAGGTTTTGCTCCCAAGCATGGTATTAAAATGAAAATTGTAAAGGTTGATTTTCAAACATGCAGTAAATGACAAATGTTAACATTCTAAACAAAACAACTCATCAAGTACCAAAATTTAAAAGTTTAAGCCCTAAAACCAAGAGTTAACACATGGTTAACAACGTCAATTCTTGGGCTAGGGGATAACAACCATTTCCAATTAAACTCAATGCAGAAGATAAAAAAAAGGTATCAAGAGAAGAGAGTGACAGAGGCATGAAGCATCATCAGCAATAATTAAGTCTATCCCATTAGGTGGTGAGTCACATGGATCAAAGTTCAGAAAATAAATCAGTTTGAAAGAGAGTAGTGGAAAATCGAAAATTAGCTGCCTTTTACAGCCCTTTCCCTCCCTTTTCCCTAAGAAATTCCAAGTAAGGGAAAAATCAAGCCATTTTTCCACTTGAATCACAAATCTGACCTAGGTCACTATCCAATTTGACCACACATTTTAGGTTCAAATTTCAAAATTCCAGGGCACAAAAAAGTATCACCCACAGTTTTGACTCCCCCAAAGGGTAAGTCACAAATCAAATTGTGAATTGCGAAATTCTGCATACACCACTCCCCAAGAACTTGGAGGATACATTTCTGCATCTTTTCCAGGAAAATTTAGCCCAACTTGTTTCTGATCAGCTCCTCATAGATTTGAAATCTTGTAAAACTACATGGGGCTCTATCCCTTTCCACTCAAGAATGTGTGGATAAATAACCATGCCTTTTACCCTAAGGAGAGATATTTCTAAGCTATTCCATCATTCTATTCCAGCCAAAGACACCAAATGACAGCATACTACACAAATAGCCATAAAACTTTAACCTCCTTGCTTCTGTCAAACCTTCAAACTTAATCACAAACAGCTCCAAACTATCCAACTAAACCTAAGCAAGATTCATTAAATACACCAAAGGCCTACTCCATATGTAATTGACTGTTGGACAGCATCACTGCACACCTAAATTAGCAGCTCTCTTAATTTTAACAACATTTTCAACATCTATCAAGATTCAACAAATTAAATTTTGTTATGTCTAGAACCCACAAGAAATTATGTGTCTATATGATATTAAGTGCTCTGTCCAACTCTGGAATTTGGATTTTCAAAGGGCCTCTCCATAACAAATATCTTTTATTTGGAATTTAGGTAAGAAAATATAAGGACTTACAATAACACAGCTGAAGGGAATGTAAATTTCAGCTACATCAATTCAACTCAAGAAAGCTAGAGCCCAGCCACAATAACAACCAAGTCTTATCTCACTGGGTGAGGTCAGTTACATGAATCACATGACACCATTAGGCTCGGTCAAAAATCATTTTTTAAAAATTTGATTAATAAAAAAAGTCTCTTTTAATAACTTTGTCTAAGATTCTTTTGAATCTCCCTCGATCTCTTTTTTTACCGAACTAAGAGGCATACAGTCCACCCTCCTTACTAGCACTTTTAAAAGTCTTCTCTGCACATGACCAAACTACTTTAAACGATTTACAGTCATCTTTTTCACTATTATAAGTGTTACTTCAATATTTACTCGTATACTATTATTTTGTATCCTATCTTTTCTTGTGTGTCTACTCATCTATCTTAACATTCTCATTTCAGTCATTCTCACTTTTTTCTCGTGTTGTTCCTTTAAGATCCAACATTCATTATCATATAGAATAGTTGGTCATATTGTAGTACGCAAAAACTTTTTTTTTTCAACTTAATAGGTACTTTACGATCAAAGATGACTCTTAATGTTTTTCTCCATTTTAACCACTCAGCTTGTATTTTTTAACTAATATCTTCATTAATTTCTCTATTATTTTGTATAATTGATCTCAAGTACTTAAAACTTGAAACTTTTGGTATAATATTTTCTTCAAGCTTAATTTTCAACGCATGAACCTTATCTTGGCTTTTTCCTAAACCTACAATGCATGTACTCTGTCTTACTTCTCCTCAAGCGAAAACTGTTAGATTCTAAAGTCTTCCTCCATAATTCAAGTTTCGAATCCTTGACTAACACTATATCATTTGCAAATAGCATACACCGAGATATAATCTTTTATAAGTCATTTGTAAGCACATCTAAAACAAGATGAAATAAGTAAAGACTCAAGGCGAAACCTTGATGAAACTTATTCCAATTGGAAAGTCTTTGGATACGCCTCCAAAACATCTCACACATGTAGTTATGCTTAAGAAATTATTTGAAATATTAGGTGTTAACTCCATATTCCTACTAATTATTATTTGAAGTTCAATTATTCTACTCAGTACCCACTTTCTTGCTAGTATATCATTGTGATTGCTTTTACTTTAGATAATTCACCATCCCCTTTTTTATTTTTAACATGCCTCATCACTACACATTCACCTCAAATTTAGTTCATCCAAATGTTGTTTCTCAATGTCCATCCTAGTAGTACTTTCTTAATTTCTTTCGATAGAACCATAGTATTACTATCAAGCATCATATCCCGAGTTTTTCCGGATAAAAAAAAATTCACGTGCATTTTCCTAATCACCATTTCATCACCTAATTCTAAGGGAAAATGTTACTGTAACAAAGTTTAAACACCTTTCACTGTTGTAACCCATGACTAAACCTACACTACATGATTAGACTTTTAAAATTTTGTTTAAAACTGTATGAAATGGAGATTTTCCTTTTTTTACAACCATAGAAATAATTTTCTATTTGTCTCAATTTAAAAAAGGACAAAATTCAAGTAGGTTCTCATCCTGAAAAAGTCTAAAAAGCATGCAATAAGTATATGCTTAGTAAAGTTTATTAATTTGGAAAAGTTTATGGACAACTTATGGAAATAATTTTTGACTCAAGGTAACAACAACTAAGCCTTACTCCACTTAGTGAGATCAACTACATAGATCACCCAATTAGGTCGAAAATCAAATTCTTAGAAATATTATTTATCATTAGATCTATTTTAATGACTCAAACTCTCTTAGATCATTTAAATAAGCTTCTTAGCATAACATATTAAAATAAGCTCTTTTCAACTTATTTTAGTAAGTTTTATGATCAAATTTTTTACGTAAGCACTCATGTAAAAAGAGCTAATTGAATAAATGTTTAATTAAGTTGTACATCCTAATGAAACCTAACAAGTCTGCCATGTGTGATCATTACAGCTTTTTCTCATTACCGCCTCCTTCAAAATATCACATATCAACTCATTGTTGATTACATAAATTCAATTGTTTCAAAGCATTCTCATCATCTGTTTTAAGCTTGATCACTCCTCTCAGAAACTAAAACTTCTAT